TTACCAAATTTAGAAAAAAGTCTTACAAATAAATAAAATAATGCAAACAAGTCACTGGACATCATTACACGTGTAAAGAATCAAAATGAATGCGCCATAGATCAATAAAACGGAATAGCCTCTGCACGGACAATAATTAAATGATTTTAATTACTAAACCATATTGTTGATGAAAATAATAAGAGAAAAATACAAGTGGTTGTTATTATTAATAATGTATCAATGATTTTGAAAAAGTAACACATTAATACCACAGTTTTAAATAGCAGCCGTTTGAGTAGCGCGTGCTGAAGCTGAAGAGCTGAATGAACACGGTAAACTGAAGCGTTTTGCTGGCAGCTTATTTAACTCAAGGAAATGCATCCTGAGATTAATATTAATACAACATAAACATAATATTACAACTTATATATGTACAAAATGACGCAGTTATTGCGTGCTATAGTCAGAATGTGTGATCCTGTTGTGGATGCGCTCTTCCCATAACAACGCGCTGAAACACAGCAACTAAACCCAAAGAATTCACAACGTTTTATTATAATAATGTTCTCATTAGAATGTTATGTACACGACATTCCCAATCATAGTTATTAATGTTGTGCACTGCTGTTTGAGCTGCGTGCGCTGAGCTAAAGATGATCACCGGTAAACTGAAGCACTCTTTTAACTTAACCAAACGCATTCTATATGAGATAAATCAGATATACATCAAATAAACACAATATTACAACGTACAATTGCACAAAAGGCTGCAAACGAACAGCGCGCATCTGAAGTGTCTCTGAAGGAAATAATGCATTATTTATCGGCTTTAAGATATTGGCCAAATTTTCTTATCGGGCCGATACCGATAACAGAAAAAATGAGCATTTATCGGCCGATACCGATATGGTGGCTGATATATCGTGCATCCCTAATGTAAACAAAAGATGTCAGTGCATCAACAGATCCCACGACAAGATAAGATCCAAAAGCACAGTCTTCTCCACTAGCCTGTTAACATTTACAATACGTTTGTAAAAGCGTGACATCTGTCCAGAGAACAGGTCATAACAATTACAAAGGAAGTGTGACATATTTGAATAAAAAGGAAGCTACACATCTACTACGATGAAAATGGCTTGCCAAAAAATGAGTTTGAATGCAGAACTCACCAGCATTGTGTAAGTTGTTGATCTGCGAGGGAAGCTGTGTGCTGTTCCCGAACCCTCCGTTCTGCTCCAGGAGCTGTAGGGATTCATAGCCGTCATACACAGACTTCAGACAGTAGTATGAACTTAACAGACTCATCAGGATGATAGTCCGCTGCACACACACATCAGGAGCAAAGCAGGAGACCAGACTCCAGAATACACACGTGTCTGAACACTAGTCAGTAACAACAGAACATCTTCTGCAGCTTCTGGCTGACGGTGGTAATCACTTGAATCCAGAGAGAAACCACTTCTTAATCCAGATCAGACGCATCTAAAACCGCCCTCTCAACCATGTGTGCACACAGGAGCATAACACTGACTATTGCACTCAAACACTGCTGTTTGGATGCTCTTAACTAGATCATTCACATTCATTAATCCAGGAACGGATGATTTGTTTGTCGTTCTTTGAGCAAACAGGCTGGGTCCTCCCTCTTGCTTACCAGTCTTTCCTCTGTTTCTGTCTTATGTAGTGAGATCAGTGGCCATTAGGTCAGAGAGAAAAAGAGGGATGAGATGCTGCTTTGTCTCCAGGAGGTCATGGAGGGAGGGAGGAAAGGAAAGAACGACAGAACGCAAAAGGAAGAGTGTGGCGGTGTCTCTAAATGGCTCTTCAGAGAGTTGTGATCAGTATGTGGGACTCTGCTCGTCTGTGTGTGTGTGTGTCTGAGTGTCAAAGAATGAGGGGTTTGTTTCAAATGAAGCACCAAAAGAGCCTCATTCAACCAACTGAACTAGTCGGGTGATCAAACAGTAGCTCTGAAGAAGAGATTACTAAAATCAATATGAATTGAAACTAGTGGTAGATCATTGTAGGTTTTTCAATCAATGGCTGATGCTGATATTTAAGAGCTAAAAGTGCAATTGTTGATATGTTATTGCATTAGATAAAATATATTTTGCAATGATATGCACAACTGAATGATTGCAAACTATTTTTTATATTTAAAATTTAAATAATGTAATGTATTCATTTATGTAATATAAAGCTTATTAAGTGCATTATTACTATTATTTATTGACAGCAGCACATTTATAATATTTAATGAATTTTAATAAATACTATACTATACAAATTATAAATTATATTACATAAATACATAGCAAATATTTAATAATTATTACATTTACAAAAAATACAAAATATAATTTGTAATCACTAAATGGCATTACATAAATAATAATTTACATTATAAATAAACAAATATATTAAGAACAAATTAACATTTTAAAACATATAATTTGTAATCATTAAAATTAGTTTATATGAATGTATTTACATGCAATGCATATTTTATATATATATATATATATATATATATATATACTCTTCTAATAACCCGACTGTGAATGATGCGAGCGGCGTTATGTTGTCACTAGGGCTGTTGCGGTTCGTCGATTTTATTAAACTATTCGATTTTTAAAAATCCTCGACTTCATTTTGCTCACGTCGACTAACCGGCAAAATACCGGAAGTGGCGCATTTCACGGACGAGAATGTATAAAACACATTATTAGTCTGTTTTCTAAGGCTGCATGATATATTAAACCCATTTAAAAATAATTTTTAAGCATAATTGTGAATTCACAGATGCTACGATTTAATTAAATAATTCAATGCGATTCAGTTCTAATACAGTATATGCGCTTTAATTATTTACATGCTTGTAGGTTAAGTACATGCGTCACACAGCAGCGCCGTTCACAGTAGTTCCACAGGAACTGTTATCATTTACATGTGTGGAGCGTCTCAAACTCCATCTCTGCATGTTGTTGTGAGTTTGGGTTTATTATAACGTTCATCTGGGAATGCAACGTGATTACCACAAAAAAAATAATTATAATTATAGGGCACTATGAAATCCGTTTAATTTCCAAATTGTTTTTTCCATTTAGATTTTTCTATACTCTGTTTTAATGGTTAAATTAAATTTTATCAATCAAAAAGCCTGTCTAATTAATTGAGTTTTACAGTTTTATCTTTACCAAATTATGTTTTTCATTATTTTCTGAATTCCATTTTAATGGTTCCAATACATTTTAATAATCAAAAGCATATCCAATTAATTGATTTTATTAAAAAAAAAAAAAAAAAAAAAAAAGTTTTTTTTTTTCCAGAAATACTGCACATTTTCAATTTTCTCCTAAATAAATTCTGGTAAATACGCCTTTAAAAATAGTTTTTTGATTATAATTTTATTATTAGTAGACTAGAACACGTGGATATGTTGTCATTCTTACACTATAATACTGAACTTTGATTTCAGTGATTTGGACTATGAGATGGACACTTACTTCTTGCACTTTATGTTGCACTTTACTTTTTTACTTTTGGATTTCATTTGGTTTAATGAAATATAGTTTAATAAAATATTCTTAAGTAAAATTGTAGATTTTTTCTGGTGGGAAATTAATCGTTTAGATTAATCGATTAATAATTCGATAGATTAATCGAAATAAAAATAGTCATTAATGGCAGCCCTAGAAATTGTAATAAAATTGTAAATACATTTAATTTTTTGTATTATTATTTAAAGGAGTTATAAAAGTGTTAATTGAAATTTTGTGTACATATTATTATTTGCTTTAATTAAACTGTATTATACATGTACTGTATTTTGGCCACTCTGAACTCTGGATATAAATTGGCATCAGCAATTCTCCAAAAAAAAAGAAATTAATAAAAAAAAAAAGGAAAAAAAAAACAACATTTTGATTGACTATTATAAACTAGTCTCTTGCATTTAACATGAAACCTATGAATGACCAGTGAAGACTTGATCTAAGAGACCATTTTTGTTAGATGGTTTGTACCTCAGTAATGGGTGATTTTGGGTTGACGTTTCTGGCTGCAGCGATCTCCTGCAGTTGACTAACAAGCTCGCTGATTGACAGTCGCTCATCTGGGTTGATTTTCAACATTGATCCTGGAACAAACACACAAGGCTTTTGCCACACAACAAATGCACAACAAACAAAATGACGATATGATGCAGGAGAGATTTTGGGAAGAGGGAATGAAGTTAAGTTCCTGCAGGATACTTACGGATGAGTTGGTGAAAGACTGTGTACTTGGTGTCATTCTGAGGAATGTTGTATTTGCCGTTTACTATCTGGAGTTTGGCTCCCTCTTCAAATGGGTGCTGCTTAAAACAGAGCAGGTACAGTATGCAGCCCAGAGCCTAGGGAACAAACCAAGACTCTTTCAAAACACAACAAGGACAAAGGGAAAAACCTGTTACACTGTATCCTAACCAGGTGCTTTAAGTAATGCCAAAAAGCCTCCTTCACCTGGTTTGGACCAAAAAAAAAAAACTTTTGCCTTTGTAAGCTTTCATTCAAATTTTGCATCAACTTGCTTTGTCTCTAAACCAAATGTCCTTATCAGCCTTCTTATTTTCGCAACCCTTCCAAATATCAAGCATGATTTTCGGTCCAACTTAGCACAGAAAATGTGGAAAAAGTCTGCAGGTTATACCTGGATCTGCTCATAACTATACTAACTCACCCATATGTCTTGTTTCTCGTTTATTGGGTAGTTGGAATAGAGGTCAATCATCTCTGGTGTCCTGTATGCTGGAGTCGTGTTTCTAGTGATCTGAGGGATAAAGAGAGAATAAGAGAAAGGGAAATGATTTATAATTTAGTGGGTCTTTATGTTAAAAGATTGCATGCATGGATTATAATAATTGATGATTAAAGCATGTAAACACTTGCTCAAAAGTTTACACTACTGTTTGGAGTTTGGTCAGAAATGTTTTTTAAAGTCTCTTCTGCTCACCAAGGCGGTTTATTTGATCAAAAATACATTAAAACCAGTAATATTGTGAAATATAGTTCACTATATTCCGTGCTAAATCACACTATATTTCAAGTCTAAGTGTGGGGTCTATAATATTTTTGAAAAAAGTCTCTTATGCTCATCAAGGTCGCATTTATTTGATAAAAAAAAAAAACAGTACAGTACAGTACTAATTTGAAATACTATTAAAATGTCAAATAAATGTTTTATATTTGAAAATATTTTAAACTGTAACTTATCCCTGTGATGCAAAGCTGAATTTTACTCCAGTCTTCAGTGTTACATGATCTTTCAGAAATCATTCTAATATGCTGATTTGCTGCTCAAGAAACATTTCTTATTATTATCCATTGAAAACAGTGCTTCTCAATATTTTTGTGGAAATTATGATTTAAAAAAATAAATTTTTTAACAGTAGTGTAATTTTATTAATGTTTTCAAACTGTTAATATTTTAGAAGAATAAAATAATAAAAACTTTATTACAAGCTTTGCTGGAAGGCTGTAAAACGCTAAAAAAAACTGGTCCTCATTAGAATTAGCTGCTAACAAAAATGCATTAAATAAACACAAACAGACATTCATGTGCAGAGAAATGGCGGGCTTTGTGCATTGCGTGGGTTTCAATTTACTACCAATAACTGACTTAAGAGGACCAGAAACCAGACAAACTAATTTAATCAACAAAACAATTAAATCAGTGAATGCTTCCATGGGAAATAGCCAGAGATTTTAATACAATCACCGCAAAATATTTATTTCTGGCCACGTATCAATGTAACAATTTCCACAATTAATGTGACAATCCATCAATCACAATCAAAACTATGGCAAAGAGGACAGTGATGTCACGGTGATGTTAACCTGGTATTAATATTTATGTAGCGTAAAGCTGGATGGGCTGCTTGGAGAAGAGAATTTGTTGTGTTTTTACCTCGTCTTCCACCATAGATCTCTTGTGAGCAGACCAGCTGTAGTCTGGGTAATGTGCCAAGGTGGTGGCGCTGCCAAAGTCACACAGCTTTATAGTGCCCTGATGACTGATCAACAAATTCTCAATCTACAGAGAAGAAGAAACGTTACTGAACAATGTATATCATAATTCGGCACAGATCAAGTGAGAAAATACACATTGCTATATTTATTAAAGCAATAAGTCATCTAAGGCCATGTGTTACTGTACTTTTACCACAATATATACACACCGTGATGGTAGTATTCAATGTACTGCATTATGCTGATTTAGATTAAAACATTTGATTTAAATATAAATTAAATAAAAAAATTATGATAAATAAACAAACATTATAGTAATAAAAATTTGAATCGCCACTGAGAATAATAAATTACAAAGAAACAAATTAAAATACATTCAAATAAAATACAAAACATTATATAAAAATGTATTATTATTATTATTATGATTATTAAATATTAAAATAAAATAAAGGCCAAGAAAATGTGCTTAACTGAAATTACCTGTCATGAAAATAATGTTGCAATTTTTTTCTGAATTCTTTTTTCTTTTGATATTAGGGATTATGTTTTCAAGAGACTCATACTACTGCATTAATAGGCCATATTAAATATAAGCTAATAAATAAAATCTTCTTTGTTCATATCTTACTTTGATGTTCTGTAAATAAACAGGGGTTTAGTCTGTGGGGCCTCACCTTCAGGTCGCGGTGGATGACTGGTGGAGACTGTTTGTGCATGTGCTGCACAGCACGACATGACTGGTAAAAGATCTTCAGCACTGTGTCACATGACATGGGTCCTCTCTGCTCCACCTTCTTCACAAAATCAACCAGCTGGCCTGCAGGAAACAGAGGGCGGAGGTCAATGTGAACACAGGAAAGCGACGCCAGTGCCAGAAAGTCAGAAGGAGAGAGTGGAATGTGTTAAATCAGTCAAGAGCTTCCCTCTTTTTGCAATTTTTTATATTTATCAGTGATGCATTCAATTTCAGCAGCCCGAAAGGATCTGTTTTGACCGAAACGGTGATGTTTAATTAGCTCTTCTCCAATGGCACATTTTGTGTTTGCAAAATACTGTATATGCACTATATTACATATTCATTTTATTTTCACTTAACCTGCTGTCTTCATTCATTCATTTTATGTATTTTTAAATTAATTTGTCATAAAAAAAACATCCACCATGTCAACAACGAATTGGGAATAGAGATAATTATATACTTTAAAAAGTTGAACTAAAAACTGCCTAATGTGCGATTTAAATGTTTATAAAACAACAAATAATTTTTAGATGCATAAATTACATTCTGTCATCTAATAACAATACTTGTAAAAAGTGTGACCTGAATTTGAATGAAGCACAATTAAATTTGCCTTTAAGAAGGGTTTTCTCCATCAGTTTCTGCTACTGTGTGAATGGGATGTAGTGCACGTACCTCTACACAGCTCTGTGAGGATGAGGAACTCAGCCTGGCCCGTGTCCGACTCTTCTTTACTGATGGATGCAGCGGAGCAGAACTGAACAATATTGGGGTGACCAGACAGCTTTTTCTAAACAGAGCACATGGAGAAGCAGATCAAGCATCCTATAGCTTTTTAGCAAGGTTTTGTTTTACTGGATAATGCTCCGATTTATTTATTTATTTTTCTACAAACTTGTGACAGAGAAATGCTGCTCTACAGATGTGAGAGATGCCAGCAACAGCTTTGCCTAACAAGGCATGAAAAAAGTGCCTAGTTATAGTGTTGTGTGATAATGTAGTATACTTGTTAAATTAACATGTTTAATTATTACCATGAAGCAGACTTCCTGAATGATGGCTTTATTCTTCTCCTCTTCATTGGAGAGAAGTCTCTGCACACAAACATACAAATCAATAAAAATCAAAACGTTTTTCAGATCTTTCTTGAATCGGTTGTTGTGACTATTTAGCAACACACAAGGAAAAATTACCACTGAAAGTGAGAAAAATGCCCAATACCTAAAATACGGGGACAAATAAATGCCTCTAAAATGAATCTCCTCATTTCCATTTCCAAGTTATGTTAACATGTTTAATTATTACCATGAAACAGACTTCCTGAATGATGGCTTTGTTCTTCTCCTCTTCATTGGAGAGAAGTCTCTGCACACAAACATACAAATCAATAAAAATCAAAACGTTTTTCAGATCTTTCTTGAATCGGTTGTTGTGACTATTTAGCAACACACAAGGAAAAATTACCACTGAAAGTGAGAAAAATGCCCAATACCTAAAATACGGGGACAAATAAATGCCTCTAAAATTAATCTCCTCATTTCCATTTCCAAGTTATGTAATCTGTATAGCTTTGAACAACTTCAGAAAGAATGGACGATGCGTTACAAGTTTTTGTATGTCAGTGCTATTTTAGTATTATTTATATACTGTACTATTGCAGCATTTATTAATGTTTTGAAACAGTTTTTATTTTTATATTTTATACTATACTATATTTTTGTTTAAGTTTATTATTTTACTTATTTTACATTTTTCTTTTTTAGCTTTATTTTTGTTTCAGTTATAGAAATTTTAGTCCATAAACTTTTTTATTTCTGTTAGTTAATTAGCAACATTACTAATTTCTGTTTAGATTTTTGATGTTTAAGTCAAATATTTATATTATTATTCTTCAGCTTTATTTCAATCATCGAAGACCATTTTTTGTTTTTGCTCACAATAAAAACACTATTATATGGTGGTATACGGCAAAAAATGTCCTCAAAGATTCTAAAAAAAAAAAAATCTTCAGGGGGGTAAATATTGCTTTGTAATAACTAATAATTTGTAATAATTAATTCATTCACTTCTGTGTAGTGCATAATTAACTCATTAGTACATATAATGGCAGTCAATACTGACTCCACTGTAATAATCTGAATGTTAACACAGTTCATATGTGATGACGTCATCATACCTTGAGCGCATAGTCCTTACTGCTACCCAAATCCTGGGCTTCATACACAAACGCAAAGCCACCTATAAGAGAGGAAACATATTTCATCATTAGGTTTATTTTAGGTTGACTGTGATGGCACCAATCTGAATGAGGATTTTGGCAGATTCAGTTTTGCTGATTTGGGATTGTGGCTCCAACAGGACGTGAAACAGACGCATTTCCAAAAAGATATGTAGAAGTGTCTGGAATCAGGGGCCGGTTGCATAAACTTCTTAGACTAGTCTTAAAAAGTTAGTCATCTAATTTTTTTTTCTTCAAGACTGGTCTTAACTTTTTTAATTCAGCTACAAAAAGGTAGATTGGTCTAATTTGAATCTCAGAAGTACGACCAATTACCCCTTGTCTACTGCTAGTTGTTGGTGAAACCAGTTCTTAATAGGGGTGTAAATCGGATGGTTCGTCATGATACGATACGATATCGATTCTCATACCTAGCGATACGATATTTGCCGATACCTCAAAAAAAGGTTATTTAGTCAGGAGCAGTGAGCACTTGTATTTTTCTTTGACAGCATTAGATTTATTATTAGTTTGCTTTCACTTTAAGAACGAAAGCACGGATTTAATATACTGATACACATGCCGTTTCTTTCTCAACTGTTTACATTAAGACATATGCCTAACCGACTGTGTTTACCAGGATATTCGCCAAAACGCGCATTTTGATGTAATTTTGTCTGTATTTATTCATCCATGCACAAAAAAGTGGAAGAGAGCTCAAAAAGTGTAGACTGTGTCGACTGTGTAGACTGTCTGTGTGCGTGCGCAGAAAACTTCTCACACAGCGCTCGACTGTTCCGCAAACAATCCAGAGCGTCTTTTATGCTCACCCTGTGCCTTCGGGCAGTCCTTATATCGAGTCCTGATACCTGAGTTTGAACGAGAATGCACGCGTTGGCGGTAATGCATAGATGGACATTATGTGAAAATGTGGACAGTGCCAAAATAAAGATGCCAATTTATACTACAGATATCGATATTTTACTTGTGGCATCGATGCATCGTATCGTCAGACATCGTATCGATGTATCGATCCATATTGATGAATCGTTACACCCCTAGTTCTTAAGACCCAGACTTAAAATAGTGGCTATGTTTAAGCAACTGGCCCCAGTCTATTTTAAAGGGAAAAAAAAATGCTGAGTGGCACATGACAGTCAGTAATAGACAACCTTTCCAGCATTATAAAATTCTCGCTAAATGCAACATGAATGAGTCAGTCTTCTAGAGAGCATGAATAACACACACACAGAAAGAAACTTCTGCCCTCAGCAGTCATTATTGAACAAACAAAGACACAAGTTCAATAAACAGTGCTTTTCAGGTTTTGCAGCTCAGTCTAAAATAAATTTTCAGGTACGCTACAGAAATGTAATAATCAAATGTAAAATAACTGCATAGTCTTCACTGTATAAATTAAATATAGATTAATCATTTTTGATGTTAAAAAGGTTATTTAGTCAGGAGCAGTGAGCACTTGTATTTTTCTTTGACAGCATTAGATTTATTAATAGTTTGCTTTCACTGAACGAAGCACGGATTTAATATACTGATACACATGCCTTTTCTTTCTCAACTGTTTGTTTACGTTAAGACATATGCCTAACCGACTGTGTTTACTAGGATATTCGCCAAAACGCGCATTTTGATGTAATTTTGTCTGTATTTATTCATCCATGCACAAAAAAGTGGAAGAGAGCTCAAAAAGTGTAGACTGTGTCGACTGTGTAGACTGTCTGTGTGCGTGCGCAGAAAACTTCTCACACAGCGCTCGACTGTTCCGCAAACAATCCAGAGCGTCTTTTATGCTCACCCTGTGCCTTCGGGCAGTCCTTATATCGAGTCCTGATACGTGAGTTTGAACGAGAATGCACGCGTTGGCGGTAATGCATAGATGGACATTATGTGAAAATGTGGACAGTGCCAAAATAAAGATGCCAATTTATACTACAGATATCGATATTTTACTTGTGGCATCGATGCATCGTATCGTCAGACATCGTATCGATGTATCGATCCATATTGATGAATCGTTACACCCCTAGTTCTTAAGACCCAGACTTAAAATAGTGGCTATGTTTAAGCAACTGGCCCCAGTCTATTTTAAAGGGAAAAAAAAATGCTGAGTGGCACATGACAGTCAGTAATAGACAACCTTTCCAGCATTATAAAATTCTCGCTAAATGCAACATGAATGAGTCAGTCTTCTAGAGAGCATGAATAACACACACACAGAAAGAAACTTCTGCCCTCAGCAGTCATTATTGAACAAACAGAGAGAATGAACTCATTACGTCTGCAGCAATGACACTACACAACAGTAATGAATCACTGATCTCAGCAAAAAACCTTTTTACACAACATTTCATCATCAAGAGTCAGTGATGTGGAGAAAACAATATAAATGGATTTAAAAACACAGACCTAATTGACATTATGTGGCTGAAAAAAAAGAGAGAACTAAATAGAACAGGGGCCAGTTGCATAAACTTCTCAAGTTAAAAGTAAAAGTCTCTAGTACTGTCTTAAGAACTAGTTTGACCAACTAGCAATTAGCAGAGAGGTAATCAGTCTTACTTTTCAGATTCAAATTAAATTAATCTACGTTTATGCAACCAACTTAAAAAAAGTTATGACCAGTCTCCAAGAAGAAAAATAGATGAGTAACTTCTTGTACGACAAGCATTTTATGCAACCAGCTACAGGTGTTGAAATCTTAATCTTAAGACTACAACTAATAATAAAAATAGTAGTAAAATAGATATTAAAAAGAAGAAATATTGTTGACAAGCAAATTATGATAAAGTGGAATATTGTAATATCTATCTATCTATCTATCTATCTATCTATCTATCTATCTATCTATCTATCAGTAGACCGAATGCTGAGTCAATGACTGAAAAGTCTGAATATGTAAAAATATAAAACAGTGAATATTGGTCAAAATTGATTATGAGATTATCATCTCCACCTAAATAGCTATATGACAATCAGTTAACATTAACTATTAACCAACAGTCTATGCCAGGGTTTCCCAAACTGGGGTTTGTAAGTTGATGAAAAGCAAGTAATTATAATTCAAATAAATTAAAAATATTTTATTTGTTTCCCTGCATATCATGTGACCATAGACTGTCATTAACGAATCGTGAATATGTGAATGTGTCATTAAATTATTGAAATATTAAATTAAAAACTCAGAGGGTACTTCAAGTAAATAATTTAGGTCACAGGTGTTCACCTTTAAAATGACTTTTTACAAGTTACATTTTATATCTATATATACATATCTATATATCTATATCTATATAGATGAACACAAAATTTTTCTTTGGAATAACACACAATGATATGCAAAACATGCTTCATGAACAATAAGGAACATGTATAAAGGAAGTAAATAGGTATGTTTATTTATGCATGAAGATATAAAACTAAGAATGACTATTTCACATCATACAAGCATTTTATGACTGATTCTTAAAGCAAACAACGAAATACTGTAAGTATGGCTCCTTGAACAGATGTTGACTGTGTCAGTCAGGTGTGTATGTCTTTACATGAACAAAAGTGACAATGCCAGGTATTTATGGACACTTGTGAAACAATCCTCAAGTGACCAAAACTGCCTGTGTCCATGGTAACGGGTAAATGAATACCAGCGGAGGTCCGAGTCAGGCTGCACAAATCAAAAGAAGCTTTTGAGCTTCACGTTACAGTGCACTGACATTCACACGCACCGCGAATTTGCAAAGAACAGTACAAAAAGTAACAAGAGGAGCAAGAGACTTCAGGTAAATAAAACATATAGCCTACTGCTCCATAAACCGCTGTACTGTTCTTTTCAAATTAAAGCCTTTTCTGGACATAATTTCTAATAATATTGGTCGACATTACAGCCCAAAAATGCCATTGTGATGCAAAGAATTATGTAAACAATACTATGTCAGATACTTTGTCATTTAAATGATGCCTTCATCCAAAGAACCTCATCATACAGACAGAAACCTGAAGGTGATTGTTCGTCAGTTGCAGAGTTCAACTTTCTGGTTAACAGCCTAGATCTCTTAACCACTACGCCTCACCATCACCATGCAAATCATTCCTGTTCACTCAGAATGCCCTGTGTTTCCATTCAAGGCCTGTAAATGTCGACACACCTGAGCCAGTGGGTCAAAGTGAAAGTCAATGATGGGCTGAACAGTTATGGACATGTTACTGTCATAATCCAACAGATTTCAATAGCTCTGACCAAAACACCCCACTTTGACAGACAATAATTAAAATACGAATGTACATCAAATAATTAGTACAGCTTAGTGCTGGGCGGTATGACCAAAAATTTATATCACGGTATTTTTCAAAATTATACCGGTTTCACGGTACATGACGGTATTTTTTTTTTCATGCATGACCGGGTGTTAACCATATTTTCTACTGATTGAGAAAGGAAATACTGCAGTATATTGACTTAGAATGCCCTATTTTACTGTCATGATGAGAGAATATTGTCAAAAAATACCACACTAAATAGTGACTAAACACGACCCCTTTTAATACATGTTAACCAGGAGTCACTCTCATTTATAATCGTGGCATCGTCTGATAAAATCAACATGAATCTACACTAAAGAGCGGCTATGCGGTTGTTTTGGCTATATTACTTTTTTGTCTCATGCAGCGCACTGCTGCGTCTGAGTAACAAACTAAAAGAAACAACAAACAAAAAAGTGCATGTGATATTAACAGACGAACTACGCTCATATTTATAATTCCAAACAATCAGTAAGCGACAGGTGCTAGGAAACGCTGTTTTGAACTCATTTATTGACGAGTCGGCTGTGGTGCGGCCAACTGAATGCGCTGCTTCTCTGCTGCTCACTGCACAGAACAGACGCCGAGAGAGGTGACACTTCTCCGGGAAAGTCAGACCTCGCGTTCGCGGGACAGCACTGGCAAAATCTTCCAACTGAACCATAGCTAAGGTTTATCCAAAAAAGTCGCTAGGTTTGTCAGTATG